CAATATTTCGCTATTACAGCTTCGTTAAAAACCATGGATATCATACAAGTTCCCTAATTTAACTAGATTAGTGAACTTGTATGACATCGATATTTTCTAACGAAGCTGTAATAGCGAAATATTGAGATAATAATGTTACATTCTGGAGATATAGGTCGTGATTTTATTTACGTTTATAGAGAATTCTGATGGGATACAAGAAACCAAACTCTCAAAGAATGTTGGCACTTCTGCAAATTGTATTGTGAAAGGAAGGGCCCAGAAATATAAGAGCACATAATCATAACAGAAGAAAAAGGCTTTTAAGCACATTAACCGAATGTACACGTGCTCAATTCATCGGATCGTCCTCGTAATTGAGAAATGACTTTAATTCCGAATTTAATGTGCATTTTTCACGATATAAGATAGCTTTTAGTAAAATGCACGAGTCTGTTGTGCACAATATAGCAGATGAGTTATAAAGGTATGTGAATTAACAAGTCAGAGTGCAAGGTAATATTCGTAGGATGAGTAAAAATAATTTTATCCAACATATAGTTTGTATATTGCATTTGTGTGTCCTTTAGAACTTCTGAAATGCACATTTGTTTTCAGTATTCCTGTATATTGTACCCGGTACTTACTTTCCTCTACCATGAACTGTCGCTAAACCAGCAATGCAAAGTAAAATGAACAGTTGATAACTCTGAAATCAAATACTTAATATCATGTTGAATGGTCCTCTGTAAAAGGTCGTGGCTTACGCTCTTTGACTCCCTCCAGTGCACATAGGGTTTGATTGAATTTACGATTTATTTTCACCTGCTAAATTTTCAATAATTTTAATGATTCCTTGAAAAGCTAAAGGGCGTGTGTATTTATGATATTCCTAAAAGCTGTGGTAATGACTTAATCAACTTTGAGGTGCATTAATTAAGTTATTTCAACATAACGATTTTGTTAGAACTTTCGCGCATAGTTACACAAGAGCTAAATGTACGTAGTTGTCCATAATTTTTAAATGATAGACTAGAAGGAAACTAGTCAATCAATATTGACTGCCATATATATCTTGATCTACTTTTGCCTGCCCGAATAGGGAGGGTTGATAGTCACAGTTTCAGTGTACCAACGACCCAGTGCAGGGTGCTTTTTTTTTCTTTTGTGGCGAAACGTACTCTCTCAAAATAACAGTCCAGCATCATATAATTACTACTATTTGAAGGGATAGTTTTGATTAATAAACGGATATAAACACACAACTACTACTTTTTGTTGCATCTTATTAACCTAGCAAACCTCCATATAATTTTCTTGACTGAAGATAAAAAAACAGTCACTATTACTCATGCAACCAAACTAACATCCACGGTTTGACGAATTTCCTTAATGAACTTCGAAAGATTATAGATATAAGAATTTGCTTGATTCTACAAGTTTCTTGGCACCCTATATAACAACATTAAGAAAAAATTAGGTATGATGCCAATTAGTTTCTAAAATAAAGTAATTTTTTTAAGGTGCTGCCATCTAGTACTCAGAGAGTGAGACAGCCTTATTCCCTCTTGTAACATTACTCGGAAAAATAAAAAACATCTAAAAATTGTCTGTAAACGATATTTACATATTTGATGATTTGGTTGTAAGTAAGTTTGGTGTTAACTTTGTCCGTTCTATCTTGACATTAACCGATTTCTTAAAAGGCCAAGTTTTCATATACTTTCAGATCCTTTGTTTGAAAGGCTTACACTTCTGGTCCCTGAATAGTAGTTATTCTCATACTTTGTGTTATTAAAAACATTATTCCTTTAAAAAAAATAGCGTCAACATTATTACAAGGCTTACATTCAACTAAATTAAGGACATATTCGTTTTTTTTGTTTTTTTTACATAATTCTACATAACTAGTGCAATATGATAAAACCTTGGAGTAAGTCTTTATCTTCACAAGTACAACTGTTGACTTCCCGGGCTACGCATAAAAATGTCTAACGTTCAAGCCGCAATATACAGCCGAAAACGCTCCACACTTTTAGTTGCGTTAGCGTTATAACTACGACAGTAAAAATCATATTCATAATAAAATAACTATACAATACTCAATGTTCGATAAAGAAAAAAACTCATAATTCGTCATTCAAAGAATCTGTGGAATTTCTAATTAATGCTTGGCGTGTTTTAGCACCGAAATAATTATAAACATATTTGTATAGATGTATTTTAAATTCGCGAGTTAATAATCCACCTTTTTTTTTCTCTCTTAAATCTGGAAACTTGTGCAATATTTTGAACTTGTTAGCATGAAAGCAGTAAAAATCTTACTGTGCATAACTGTAATACCTGATACAAGCCTAAAATTTCATGGCAAATTAAAATTTGACAACTGAAGAACAATCTGCCTTCTCAATAAGCTTGCTGATGGTTATAAAACAACACGTGATGAACAAACATGTTTAAGATTCTTTTTAATCACATAATACAATCATTCCAGTGTAAAAATGTTGGACATACTGCACTTTACACCTCCCCCCCTTCCCAAATCAAAAACAAACATGTTTCAAAGTTTTATGGCCACATTTACATAAAAGTGGTACCTACATTAGCCGAGTAACTGAACTGTTTAGTATTTACATGAAAGAAAAATGTTAGCTGTTTTACATAATGAAGGAAATAACCAATAGGATGTTTTACAAAATTCAAAACTTGTTAAAATAAACACAATCATTCAGAAAAATAATCCAACGTCTGTACAAAACACTGTCACATTTGCACTCTTATGTACAATTAAAATAGAATGGATAACTGGGAAATATGTATTTATTCAATACTAACTAACGAAAACCTAATCATGTCAGGGTGTTTCGTCATACTAATCAATGCTGTAATAAAAATAACACCAAGTATTTGCTATGGAGACTTAATTAGAAGAACCTCTGTACATATAACAACATAGGATTATGAAAAATCCTAATAAATATTTTTACAGATTCTTTCTAGTAAGCAATTTAACAGTAACTGACCTGATTCCATAAGCAGGCTAAAGTAAATTACTTTTCTAACATCTTTTGATTTAAATAGTTAAAAGTTTTTCTTTCAAACTTTAAGGTTTGTATCCAATTCATTTATCATACTAAATAATATAAACTGAAATAACAAGATATATTTCAAAATAAAAGAATCAATTGTTGTTACAAAACAATAAATAGAAAAACAAGATACCCTGGGCATTAGAAAAAAAGAAATTAAATAAAACTTCATTTTAACTATCATTTGTGGAATGTAAAAAGTAATTTCTGTGATCTTAGAATATCTCATAAAGAAAACAAAAGGTAAATTAAGTAATCAAGAAAATAAATTGTCACTGCAATACTGAATATCACAGTTTCTTCTGCTTACCTTCACTTACACCAAATAAAAATTATCACAGCAATTTAACTTAAAATTTCATTAGATACAAATAAAATACTTTCTTTAAAAGAGAAGCTACCAATCAACCTAATATGTTTACAAATAACATTCTAAACCGAGCTATTGCAAAGAGAAAAACAAAACGTTAGTTAGGTGTGTAATCATTATTTTATTTGTAACCATCTTATTTGAAAAAATCTGTCAAATACTTCCATTATAAATCAAACTCTTACTTGGTTTCTGACTTTAAAATATCTTCAAACATTAAAACAATCGGTAAGCTGGAAATTAGCAATAACTTGCTTTTAAATTATTATGAATAAACTACCGAATCTATGACTTGTGATTAAGGTGGCTAAATATACAGACAAAGGGAACAAAATTGAGGAGTTTCATTAAGCACAAGTTATTAAACAGTTGTTACACACAGAATTGTATTATTTATAGAAAATTATGAAACAAAAATGATAAAATTCAATTATGACAGTTATTAAACATTTGTTCTCTGAAGAAGATCTAATTATACAGAGATAAATGATACACATTTCATTAAGGAGGAGGTATTGACATTTGTTTTACAGAGAAGTGTGTTAATCATATTCAGGTTAAACACACGAATGGTGCATTTCATTAAAAGACTTAAGTAAGTATTTTTCTGTAAGGGAAAATGTTATTCACGCAAAAATAAAACATGAATGGTAAGGTCATTAAAAAAATTACTGAACATGCATTCTGTAAGCACAAGTGTCACTGCTTCAAGGAAATTACACAGACACACACACATCAGACTGTAAATAACAATTTAATGTACTTCACTTCGAGGCAGGATACTGTACAGATCGACGTGAATTACAAGTCAACATTCAGGTGAGGCAAGTGAGAGAGAGGTTAATTGTTAGTGTGGAAGACAGAGTACAGAAAAAAAAAGTGAATCGATCAATGGCAGATTTTTTAGTGCATAGTTTTGTTGTTGTTTACAATGACACAAGTCTATGTCAAAGTATTTCACTAAAGTCCGACATAACAATATACTTTTGGACACACAATTTCTCACTTAATAGCTGCTGATTAACATTTGTTAACATCTTGCAATAAACTCATATGGAAACAAACTTTCTTCATTCTATAACATTAAATTTTGATGATACCATATTAGTTGTGCTTTTCAATAAAATAAATAAAACCTACTCATTAACCTCTATTGTTTTTCAATAGAACTTCTGCATCATTAACATTTTACATTCTTCTAGTCCTTGCAATTACACTTATGTAAAAGCTTTGCTCAATTCACCACTTTTTGACTATTCACTCTTTTCTCTCTCTCTCTCTTTTTGTGAAGCTTAATTATTTCTATGCTTAAACATTTAAATATTCTGGGTATCCAAGCTGTTACTATACAAGATAGATCAGTGATTTTTTATTCATTTTCATTTACTTTATCAATGTAAAGTGTAATCACAGTAAAATGTAAAACTTTTCACAAGATCAAATAAAAATTAAAAGATAAAGTCTACCTCATGTAATGTGAATTCAACAGATAACAAAAGTTTCAACAGTAAGTTACATTTTTTTGTTCTGCAAGCCTTTGAACTTAAAAAATATGTTTGCATAAAAAAAAATCATTCATTCATTTAAGAATCTGTCTTTAATGGATGAATAAATATTTGGTAGTAATTGTATTTATAATTGTTAATGAAGAAACTATTTACATTTTCATGTCAGTTTGCAAAAAAGTATTCACATGTTATTCGTACTTGAGAGCTTTCTTCAGAAGATAATGCATGAGAAACCCTAATATTAGTTATATTTATTTTTACTTTTTACTCTCAAAGAGTACTTTGTTTTTAGCCTAGTTGCTGTTCCAAAAACACTAGAGGGAAGCTCTTCCACAGTTGATTTTTCTACAGTATTTTTCCATTGGCAAAATCTCAAACATTTAAGAAAGCCACTTTTTTCAAAGGTTGCCATTTCAAGTACAATTAAAAACAAATATATCCAAGATTTCCATACTTTCTGGACATCCTATCCATAGTCAAACAGATAAGTTATTAAAATTACACAAATTTACATCCAAATCTTTTTTTTTTTTCCCCAACTTGTTAAATCTTCCAAACCATAAATAAAATATAATGTTCAAACAATATATAATATGATTATGGCAGGATACTCGAGATATCAACATTCAGTATAATTATGCAAAATTCTCATTTTTCACATTTTTAGTGGATATTACACATATTTCCTATTTATTGTTTTGAAAGATAGGAGTCCACATATGTCTTTAGTATAAACATCATTGACTGATATTTCTAGGTAACCTAAACCCTGAGAGTGCCATCAACGAAAATCGTTAGAATAAAAAATAATCATTAAGAATGATCACACAACTACACAAAGATTCTGTACACACACTTAACTCTGGTCGAAGTAAAACAAATGGTCCCAACAGGCTGAATCATCAAACATATATATAAAACAAGCCTGAAGTATAAATTAGTTATTCATAGCATAACGCTTTTGATCATTTAGCATCTTCATTAACTAACTACCCAACCAAGGAATCTATTACAAAAAGTGAAAAACTTGACTTCATTGGTAAGTGTACAAAGTCACCACTTAAATATCTTATATATATGAAATGTTTTTCAAACTTGGAAATATGTCTAATATTGCTTACCATTTGCTCTAGCTGTATATGTGTATTTAAATGTGAAAATTTCACCACAACTTTACTTGAGCAGAAATGAGATTCTTTGGCAATTTGATGTCTAAAGATGCATGTCTAAAGTAAGGATTTCTCTCTTTCAATCAAGGCAGCTGAGAAAGTAATATTTGTTAACTATAAGGAGGGATATAATTTAGCTTAGTTAAAGCTAAAGACATCACCTAGAATTTGCTAATTAATGGGAAATGCAGTTGTTATAAAAAGTCTTTATCAACTCTAACATATGAAAATTGTAAAAAATGTTGATTCATTTTAGAAACGTCCACTTAGCATCAAGGTGAGATCAGTAATAAAACTGAATGTATTATTATTTTCATTAACTTGCAAATTATAAAAAACATTATACATACATATGTGAACAACTTTTTTTTAACACGGCAAAAGTTTTGTTTAAAATTTTAGTCATAACTCATTTATTAGAAAAAGAATTTCTTTTATAAATTTTTACAGTAACTATATTTTAATTTAGGCTACTTAGTTCGTCCTTGTTAGCAATATCATTTTCATCTAGCCTATTTCACTGATCCACAATAGCAAGTCTACCTTTACCCAGCCTGGTTAGTTTACCCTTAATAATGGATATACTTTTGTTTATTCTTTGCTTAACTAAGCATAAAGCAGTATTATGTCAAATCAAAAATTAAATGTTGTTATATCAAAGATTGAACAGACATTAATGGTCTTTAACTCTGTACAAAATAATGAAACTGACTTCTATATTTTACATGTCATTTCTAAGACTGTAACAATAACAAAACAATACTGAATTTGGCTGTCTATGAAAATAAAGGAGGTGTCTGAGGATTAAAGAAATGGCTTCATCCTACAGTAACCAAGAGCCACATATTTTCATGAGCTAGCTAATAAATGTATTGGAAAATAATTAGTTATGGCTAATATATAGTTGACACAACATAATATAATCCCATTCTTTGCAGCTTTTGGGAGGGGAATGTGAAATAGTCAGGAAGTACTTTGAGAAATAAAGCACTTTTATAATATACTTTAAGAATATCTTTCCTTACAATATACATTAAACATTAGCATGAGAATTTACACTATGAAGAGGATAATGGTCTTCCAGCTGTAAGTACTGAGGATGGATGAATGATTATAAGAAACAGTTACTGTAGATAGGTAATGGATGAACTGCTCTAAATCAGCAAGCTCTTTATTCAAATATTTTAGTTTAAAATGAAGATAGGTGAGATGTTATTAGTGCCTGTGGTTCGCATTGAAGCTGGTTATTACAGTACAGCATGTACCTCAAGAGCTTGTGGTTTCTAATGAAGCTGGTTGTTACCGTACAGCATGTACCTCAAGAGCCTGTGTTTTTTAACTCAAGCTGGTTGTTACAATACAGCACGTACCTCAAGAGCCTGTGTTTTTTAACTCAAGCTGGTTGTTACAATACAGCATGTACCTCAAGAGCCTGTGTTTTTTAACTCAAGCTGGTTGTTACAGTACAGCATGTACCTCAAGAGCTTGTGGTTTTTAACTCAAGCTGGTTGTTACAGTACAGCATGTACCTCAAGGGCTTGTGGTTTTTAACTCAAGCTGGTTGTTACAGTACAGCATGTACCTTAAAAGCCCGTGGTTTTTAACTCAAGCTGGTTGTTACAGTACAGCATGTACCTCAATGGCTGTGGTTTCTAACTCAAGCTGGTTGTTACAGTACAGCATGTACCTCAAGGGCTGTGGTTTCTAACTCAAGCTGGTTGTTACAGTACAGCATGTATCTCAAGGGCTTGTGGTTCCCATTGAAGCTAGTTGTTACCGTACAGCATGTACCTAACGAACTTGTTGTTTCTACTGAAGTTGACTATTAAAAAGCCAGCTGTACTATAAGTGCTAAAACATCATGTGTGTTATGGTGCTAAGAATACCTCAAATAATTATGGTACCAAACTAAACTGGGTATTATATTTCTACATTTCCTAAGTTCTTGTGGATTCTACTGAAAAGGTTTGTTATGATGCCATAAGTACTTCAAGTGCTTGTGCTTTCTACTGATTGAAACTAGTTGTTATAGTATCAAATGTATTAAAAATGCTTGTAGTTTTCATTGCAGCTGGTTAGTATGGTAATACATGTATCTCAAGCGCTTATAGTTCTTACTGAAAATGGATACAGTTCTTGTAGGTCTCAAGGAAACTGGTTACTATGGTGCTACATGCATCATAAAACCTTGTAGTTCTTACTGAAGTTGGTTGTTAGGGGGCCACATGACTCTCAAGTACATGCAGTTATTATTGAAGCTGGTTACTATTGTGCTACATGCATCTCAATTATAGTTCTTGTTCAAAAGAGGTTATTACGATATCAGGTTTACATCAAGTTATTCATGGTTATTACATATGTGTTTGTGATTAGTACTGAAGCTGGCTGTTATGATGCTACATTTATCACAAACCAATACTCTGTAACTTGCTGTATATAAAAGTGTGACCTGGGCTCGGCAGTTTAAGAATTTACCCGCAACTTGCATGGAATAAGACTAGCAACATGGGTTCTTCTTGCAACTGCTTCAATCAACAGAACTATTTAAAAAACAAAAACTGATTTTTACACACAATCATTTAAAACAAGAGTATCCCTCTAGCCTCTGAACTAAATAAAAAACTGATTTACATGAAAATTACATAATCTGTCTACCAGAGAATAAGTAAAACAGTCTCATTCTATACAAAAACTAGAAAAAAATTCTGTACACTGATTTTTTTTAAAATGCCATGGTTTTACAGATTCTTTTTTTGTCTAGTGATAAGTGAAAAGTTATGAAAATGTTAAACTTGTTTGTGACCTTTTTAGTAATTTCATTAATTTGTATGCAAGGATTAAGTAAGAAGAAAGTTTAAGCCTATGCTTTAAGATTACTTATATGTACATAGAGAAAGTTATCCTATCAGTAGTTCACAACCTGCAAAAGAGGAATACCACATCCCTTAATGAATGAGAGTTACCTGTGAGCAGCCAACTTTATTAAAAGTACCTGTGATGGAATGTTATAGGTAAATACTTGATAAAATGTTTAAATACAGAATGAATTATTGTTTTTTTAAGTATTATCACTAATTCAGCATACTAATGTTAGAACTTGGGTCACTCTACAGGTGTCATTGTGATGACTTTCTGAAATATAAGAAACTTTACATTATGGCAAAAAATCTTTTTCCCTATCTTGAAAAGCCAGTCTCTGCTTTTTATATATAGAAAGTTGCATTCTGGCAGTAAGTGGAATGGTTCCATCCTGAGATTGACCTTCTGCTGGCAGGTCAAGCAGGGTTTTATCATTTCCAGAAGTTCCTATTGCTCTACTAATTCGTGTAGGTTCTTCATGACTGCCTCCCACTTGAAAACGAACACGGGAGATACTGCAACTCTCCCCAGATGTTATCCATGTGTTGGAATCAGGGGGATTAGAGTTGGTTGGAGTCCCACCTCCACTGGAAGAAGGTGCCCACCCTTGTGGTGAGGTTCGTCCTACATTAGTTTTGACTTTAAAAATAGGAGTTGGGCGGTATCTTCCTGGAATGTCTAGAGTAAGAGGTCGATCGGGGAAGGAGTCCACACTGGTTTGACGTCTTGGAGTATCTAACTGGGGAAGTTGTGAGGGATAGTGATAACCCAAAGAGTGGGATGGAGGAGGTGGTGTTGGTGGATGAGGTATATTATGTTCATGGTCATCCATATGGAATGAAGGATTTATGTTTGATGATGATGTATTTGAGGCATTAGATACATTGGATGAAGTTCGACGATGTCCGTAAACCATTCTCTGAGGAGTCCAAGGTTGGGCTGAGCTTGCAGTTGGAGGGTTTCCTGAAGGAACAGATGAGGTGGGGTTCTCATAAGCATGATAGCCTTCTTGATGGCGCATAAAATCAGGATAAATCCTTTCAACATGATAAACTTCTGGCCTTGAATAATCTTGATAAAACCTTTCAATGTAATAATTGGACTCCAAGCCTGGGCCTCTGTATTCTGGGTGGTAGTGGTAATGTGACCCATATTCAGTGTAATGGTTGTGTACAGCCGGGTAGCTATCTTGACGATTATAATCCAAGTACCTTTCTCCCATAGGAGGTGGCATGCCCATGGGTGAAGGACCTATGCCTGAGCTAGAACTGGTAAAAACATGCTCACTGTCATTACTGGCACTAGAAGATTTTCGTCGTGGGCTTTGAGCATGAAGGTTGTGGGATCCACCAGATCCAATACTTGGATTGTGCTGAGGAGAATCTGTGAACCGCAGAGGAGATCCACTAACTTCAAAGCTGATGCTAGGCCTATAGTGCCGGGTTTGCCCATGATAAGTGTTGTGAGCATAGCCAGAAGCAGAAGAGAAATCATATTCAGGTCCAACGCAATATGATGAATCTTGAAATTAAACAGCAAAATATTACTATGCATCAAAATTTAATTAATTGTCATTAACTATCACTGTTTTTAGAACAATTTTCTCATATATCAAAAATTTTCTTATTTATCTGAAATAAACTAAAACAATATTAATATAGTAGTCCTGTAATATGAAACAGTACTAATTACTGTATGCATACATACTGTACACTTTCTCAATGGACAAACTGTTTGGAAAGTTTCAGACTTGGATGATGATTTATCACAGTTATGTGTATTTTACTGATGGTATTTATGTTTGAAGAAATGATTGATTTGACTGTTGAGGGTTGTCTAATTGGCTGCTGAATGTGGTCCTGCAACAGAGCTCCTTAGGTTTCATGATCAAGGAAGTCCAAAGATTGCTAAATCTTTGTTAAGCATTTATTTTGTGATTCTTATATTAAATTGATTACTTTACATTTCGGATTTTTCGGATTTATAAATTAAGTTTAAATTTTTTGGGGAAATGTTATGTGGATGATACCTTCGTCATTTGTCAGCACAACACAGATAACTCATAATCATTCCTCGACTTTCTGAATTCCCAACATCAAGTTCAATATGGAAATAGCAGTGGAAGGTCAATTACTTCCTAGTGAAATGCATCTCAAAACATCATCCATAACAGTTTATCAAAAACCAACCAACAGACAAATAGCTACATTATCAATCGACAGTAAACATATTAGGTACAAAATTCACTGGTTTATATATTGGAGAAAATATCAGATATTTGAAGCAGAAACTAAAAGAATGTAAAATACAGTCAGACCAATGAAGACTATCAGTTCAGACATACCAAAACATCTGTTGCACCTGGTCACCTAATTAACTGGAAAAAGTGTAAACCCAGTGATGATGTAGAAAACTGGAAAAGTCAGAAGATAAAAGAATCACTCTACATAAAAGTAAATAACAAATCATTAATAAGGACTTAGGATTAGATATGAACAATTTTCGGCCTTCCTTAATCAAAAAACACAAAAAGTTGTGTCGCAGGACCACACTAAGCATCCAATTAGGTTATTCTCGACAGTCAAGTCAATCCCCTCCACAACCATAAATAGCAAAGATCCAAACATACACTACCTGACAAAAGCAAACATACAGAGCTGAAACATCATCCAAGTCTAACTTAACAGCAACTGATTAAGTAACATCATCCAAGCCTAACTTACCAGCAACCGATTAAGTAGCATCATCCAAATCTAACTTACCAGCAACTGATTAAGTAACATCATCCAAGTCTAACTTATCAGCAATCGATTAAATAACATCATCCAAGTCTAACTTACTAGCAACCAATTAAGTAACATCATCCAAGTCTAACTTACCAGCAACCAATTAAGTAACGTCATCCAAGTCTAACTTACCAGCAACCGATTAAGTCCTTTAGAGAACTACTAGCATACTTATCTCATTACAGACTTAATACAGCACTGTTCTACAAGTCTTACACATCAATACAATCTTAGTACAATATTATAATACATATATTTATATATAAATGCATTTTTAATATAGCACCACCAGTTTATGCATCACAAGTAAAAGTATCCATCATCCTCAGTGACAAGAAATGTTTAAGTTAATCTAGCAAAATTACCCATCCCCAGTGATGGGAAAAGTTTAAGTTAATCTATCAATTTAAATTATTTCATGTACTTCAAAAAGGTTAATTGTGTTGCACTCTTGGTTTCACTCAAAGCCAAAGCTCTGAGCTAAATATACCACCCACTGCAAAAAGTAATTGTTGAGCATTTCAGTCATGCTAAGAGCCGCTTAACAATAACATATGGTAAATCTACATTTAAGTTAGGTCACCTTTTGAAATGTGAATAATAGTGTGATTAATTCCTAACAATTTACTGCAGAATATCCTGCTGGCAAAATAAAATTTGGCATCAACATTATTCATGCCTGTTTTCCCATCATTTCAAAAGTGAATGTTGAGCTTTGCCTGCGTGCACAGCTATTCAAATGGGAGACAGACGAATGCTCAGACAGACACCACAGTCTGCAAAATATATAAGATTGCATTACATTCTTAGGATAATACTGCCAGTATTTATATAGTATTCATTCTTAGTAAACACTCCCAGTGTTTATATATCACAACTTGCTTTTCAAAATTATCAATTATGATTTAAAATGTTCACTCACTTATTATCTGTTCTTGCAGACACTTACTCTGTTGTGAAATAAAATGTTTAATTAATTTTACTAAAGTAGGTTTAAAATAAAATACCCAAATAATGGAAAGCCAATCTACAAATGCACAAAAACAAACATAAAAATAAAATTAAAATGTATGTGTGTGTGTGTGTGTGTGTGTGTGTGTGTGTGTGTGTGTGTGTGTGTGTGTGT